TTCCATAGATGTCTAATAGGTCCAGTTGGTCAAGTGCTGAGTTTAAGTCCAGAATTTCTTCGGTAGTTTTCTGCCTTGATTTCTGCCTGGCCTTTGGTTTTGTTTTGTTTTTGCTTCCTGAATGTTTACACCTGAGAACATTAAGGAGCAAAACACTCCTGGGCTGGCCGGGCGCAGTGGCTCATGCCTGAAATCCCAGCACTTTGGGAGGCCAAGGAGGAAGGATCACTTGAGCCCAGGAGTTCGAGACCAGCCTGGGTAACGAAGTGAGATCCTGTCTCTAAAAAAAAGAAACAAAACACTTGGCTGGGCACCATGGTTCATGCCTGTAATCCCAGCACTTTAGGAGGCCAAGGCAGGTGGATCACTTGAGGTCAGGAGTTCGAGACCAGCTTTGGCCAACATGGAGAAACCCTGTCTCTACTAAAAATACAAAAATTAGCCCAGCTTGGTGGCAGCTGCATGTAATCCCAGCTACTTGGGAGACTGAGGCAGGAGAATCGCTTGAACCCAGGAGGCGAAGGTTGCAGTGAACTGAGCAGTGAGCCAACCTGGGCAACAGCGTGACACTCCGTCTCAAAAAACAAAAACAAAAGAAAACAAAAAATCGACACTCCTGAGCTGACCACTACTGCCCATCATCCTCCAGACCCATTTCCCGTGGTCTTGGTCTCCCACCAGGCTGGCAGATAACCATCAGCCACAGCCATGCCCTGGAGGTGGGGCCATCTGGAATCAAGACTGATCCCTTCTGGACTCAGGACTGAGTTTGTCATTTGTGAGGCCCAGTGCAAAATAAAAATATGGGGCCCCTTCTTGGAAAATGATTAAGAATTTCAAGATAGTGACAGCTAGGGTCAAATGTGGGGCCTTTGTGAGGATGGGCCCTGTGTGACTGTAGAGGCTGTACTTCCATGAAGCCGTCCTGCTGGTGGCACAGACGTTTCCAGCCCGGCTTGGTGGCAGCTGCATGTAATCCCAGCTACTTGGGAGACTGAGGCAGGAGAATCGCTTGAACCCAGGAGGCATGGCTGTGGCTGATGGTTATCTGCCAGCCTGGTGGGAGACCAAGACCACGGGAAATGGGTCTGGAGGATGATGGGCAGTAGTGGTCAGCTCAGGAGTGTTGATTTTTTGTTTTCTTTTGTTTTTGTTTTTTGAGACGGAGTCTCACGCTGTTGCCCAGGTTGGCCCAGTTTCCCTGGAATTCCCTGTGCCCCATGTTGGCGCCTCTCCTCTGTTCTCCCTTTTCCTTCCCCAGTGCCCTCTCACATCCTCTTTTCTGCAAAGTGAGCCAGGAATCTTGGCTGGTGTGGCCTCCCCTTGACATCTTCAGGGCTGTTGGGTTTCCCTTGACATTCATCTGGGGGACTCTGCCTCTTGCTCCGGCATCATTTTGTCCCTCTATTGCCATGGCTGGCTGCATGTGAGGAACCTGGACCACATGGGGCTAGATTGCAAATCGGTACCCCGTGTTTTACCTGTGTTTCTCACACTGGGCCAGCCCACTTCTTCAGCTTCATGCTCTCATGTGCTGAGCAACAATCTCAAGGCATTCTGGGCCCTGACATGACTACAAGCTTTTGAATAGTGTGGCAGAGATGAGCTGTATATTTGCTAATTTCATTGTACACGCCTGCTGGCCCACTGGAAGACTACATTTCCCAGTGGCCTGTGCATCTAGGTGAGACCATGTGACCTGTGACGGCCAGTGAAATGTGAGGGGAAATGAAGTACAGGACTCCTAGGCCATGTCCCTCTGCCATGTTTGCTCCCCCGACCTGCCTGTTTGTGACACAGATGGTGGAGCTACAAGATGGAAGCAATCCCTTCTGACTTTGCAGTCTCCCTTAGAGGCTACACGATGCCCTTCTCCCAGCCCAAGGGCTCAGGGAACATATCTAGGGGATTGGCTTTCTCCCCATTTTTCAAGGCGGGTCCTTGCCACCAGCCTCCTTGTTTTCAGGGAACTCCATGCAGCCAGGGACATGACATTGGCCACAGAGGCAAAGTCATGGTGGGGGCTGGATGCGGTGGCTCACGCCTGTAATCCCAGCACTTTGGGAGGCCAAGGCAGGTGGATCACTTGAGGCCAGGAGTTTGAGACCAGCCTGGCCAACATGGTGAAACCCTGTCTCTACTAAAAATACAAAAATTAGCTGGGCATGGTGGTGTGTGCCTGTAATCCCAGCTACTCGGGAGCCTGAGGCAGGAGAATCACTTGAACCCAGGAAGTGGAGGTTGCAGTGTGCTGAGATCGTGCCACTGCACCCCAGCCTGGGTGACAGAGCAAGACTGTGTCTCAAACAACAATAACAACAACAACAACAACAAACAAACAAAGTCATGGTGGGACCTTGAACACGAATCCTGCTCTCTGGGTCTCAGCTCCCCCACTGGAAAGAAGGCAATCCCCTAGCCTCTCATGATGGAATTCCAGTCCCGAGGGCAGCTGAGAGCTGTCCCCTCACTCTCTCTGGCTACATCCAAGGGAAGACCTGACTGTGGTCTTTGCATGGAGCCCCCACAGGTCGGCTCCTCTGAGCTTGGCATAGTTTGTAGAAGCCTGAAGATGATAACCCTATGGAAAGACTTTTCCAATATGAATATGTGGGGATGGGCAGGTGTGGCTTCAAAGTTGCAAAAAGGTTCAGTCCAACTTTTCCCCCACTTACCAGCAGGATGCCCTTGGGCAAGGAACACCTTCTGTCTGAAGAAGAGACTTTATCCACCCAGGATTAAGTGATGACAGCACAGACTTTATTTCTCCGAGACTCAATTTCCTCATCTATGAAATAGAAATAGAACTATACCTACCTCATGGGGTTGCTGGGAGAGTCAAAGGAAATAAGGCACCGTATGTAGAGTTGAGCGGGGAGCCTGGTCCTAGGTGTCTAGTGAATGTCAATGTCAAAATGACCGAGTGCCTGCCCTTCAGCAGCCTTGCTCCTCCCAGCTCTGCATGCGGGCCCTGGGGACTCCCCCGAGTGGTTTGATGATTTCCAGGGCTGCTCACGGCCCTTCATCTGGAATGGGGTGCAGCAGTGTGGGGGCCTTCTTGGGGGTGGGTCCCTAGTACCTCATTCAGAGTTTTAAAGAGGCAGCCAGTGTCCTGTGCAGACAGCATTCCAAGGCCTGGAAGGCCCACCAATCACCAAGTTCTAGCACAGGCCCAATCAATCACTCCCGCAACCTGCTGCAGACCGGCTGGCAGAAGATCAGACGCCCTGGTTGCTGAGGGTTAATTACCAACTTGGCACCGTCGGCTCAGGGAGAACTTGCAAGAGTCTTTCTGTCTTTTTTTGTCTGTTTCCAAAGACATAAACATTTGTACTGCAAGTGGCCCAGGGGGCCTGGAGATGTTTATTTTGTAGTTAACAAAGAGAAAGACATTTTGACTTGGGAGCTGAGTATTCTGCTGGCCCGAAGGAGAAGCTTCTGGGAGACTCCTCGCACTGGGAGGTGTCTCCAGGAGTGGCTCAGTGTGGGGCAGGGCAGTGGTGTGGGTGATGCTGGGCAGTAGAATAGATGTCTAGTCCAGGGCATTGGCCAGGCCCCTTCCTGGGGGCAAGCAGGGGAAGCAGTGTTCCTCAGTGGTCCTAATGTGTGCTGGAAATACGCACCAGCGTTTTGACAGTGCTTCTACTGAGCAGTGTGACAGTGAGAGAGACTTATGTTGTTCTTTTTGCTTTGCGTGCTTTCCAAATTTTTTTTTTTTTTTTTTTGAGATGGAGTTTCGCTCTTGTTGCCCAGGCTGGAGTGCAGTGGCACTATCTTAGCTCACTGCAACCTCTGCTCCCTGGGTTCAAGTGATTCTCCTGCCTCAGCCTCCCGAGTAGCTGGGATTACAAGCATGTGCCACCACGCCCAGATAATTTTTGTATTTTTAGTAGAGACAGGGTTTTGCCCTGTTGGCCAGGCTGATCTCAAACCCCTGACCTCAAGCGATCTACTTGCCTTGGTCTCTCAAAGTGCTGGGATTACAGGTGTGAGCCATAGCACCCAGCCTCCAAATTTTTAAGTAATCCACCTGCACTTTATTTTCAAACTTGCACATGTAATTCATGAATGTAAGAGACTCAAGCCACATATAAATATATCAAAAAAATGTGAAAATATAAGTGTCCTTACCTCCTCTTTTCGTTTTTTTTTTTTTTTTGGAGACAAGTTTTCACTCTGTTACAGTGGCGTGATCATGACTCACCGCAGCCTAGAACTCCCATGCTCAAGTGATCCTCCCCCCTCAGCCTCCTGAGTAGCTAGGACTACAGGCACGCACCACCATGCTTGGCTAATTTTCAAATTTTTTGTAGACCCTGGGTTTTGCTATGTTGCGCAGGCTGGTCTCAAACTCCTGGGCTCAAGAGGCCACTTACCTTGGCCTCCCAAAGTGCTGGGATTATAGGCATAAGCAACTGCCCCTGGCTTCCTCCTCTTTTCCTTCCTTTCTTTTCCAAAGGTGACCACAATAAGAGTTAGGCACAGACCTTGCAGGACTTTGCTGGTGCCTTTGTATACGCATACATATATTTCTCTCTCTCTTTTTAAAATTTGCCAAAAAAAAATTACACTTATGCTTTGTTCTTTGACTTGATTTTTTCATGTAAGGTATTCTGATACAGTATATGTAGAGGCACTACATTAATTTGTTCTTTATTTTTTCATTGCCTTTGGAGATTATACACCACATTAATTTCAATGGTGACATAGGATTTCATAGTATGGAGGTAGAATAATTCATCTGATCACTTATCTAATGGAATGAGTCCTTTTTTTTTTTTTTTTGAGAGGGAGTCTTCCTCCTCGCCCAGGCTGGAGTGCAATGGCGCAATCTCGGCTCACTGCAAACTCCGCCTCCCGAGTTCATGCCATTCTCCTGCCTCAGGCTCCCAAGTAGCTGGGACTACAGGCACCCGCCACTACACCCGGCTAATTTTTTGTAGTTTTAGTAGAGACGGGGTTTCACCGTGTTAGCCAGGATGGTCTCGATCTTCTGACCTCGTGATCCGCCCGTCTCGGCCTCCCAGATTGCTGGGATTACAGGCGTGAGCCACCGCGCCCGGCCAGAATGAGTTCTTTAGAGGGCTTGGTGAGAGTGAGACCTGGGCTAATGTCCAGGTTTAGGGTCAGGAAACCTGTGACATTATTTTTTTCTTTTTTCTTTTCTTTTTTTGTTTTGAGATAGGGCTCTCGCTATTTTGCCCAGGCTGACTGTGAACTCCTGGGCTCAAGGCATCCATTCCCTCAGCCTCCAGAGTAGCTGGGATTACAGGCACACATCACCGCGCTGGGCAAAAGAATCCGTGTAACTGTAATGGAAGGGCTTGAGTGCAGTCGCGGTTCAGGGCGGGCCTTCTTCCGCAGATCTCCGGTCTTACCACGGGGCGGAGCTGGTGAGCAAGCCTGCGCCGGTATGGCTCCTGCAGGAAAGGCGAGGGCGACAGGAGGCGGCGGCTGGGGGCTTTGCCGCAGCGGGAGCCGGGCGGGCTGGCAGCTCCTTACCTCTGCCAGCTGGGCCAGGGGCCTTAGCCTATTTGTCCACCTGCAGCACTGGGGGAACTATGAGGACATTCAAATTCTGCATTCGTTCCCTTACCTGAAGCAACAGATAAGGAAATCCACCGCAGGCGGATTTTCACCCAACAGCTAGGTCCCTAAGAAAGTGAAGGTCAGTAGATACTTTTATTAAATGGGGTCACATATTGAAGGTCTTGGGGAAAACCAGCTACTTGAAAGAACCAAGTCAGGAATTATTTTCTAAGGAGGGAACTGCCCCTACTGTGTGCGTTGTAAACTTGGAGTTTGATAAATGGGGTTCTCAATCTGAAAGGCGGGCACATCTGAGGTCCCCCCTGCTCCTGGTGGTCCCCTTAGTTTACTGATAAAAATCGTTAAAATTTCTTGAGGACTCACAGGCCAGTCACTGAGTTAAATATTGTACTTTTCTTATTTCATTTAATCTTCACGACAACCCTATGAGAAACTACTGCTGTATCTATTTTCTTTTTTTCTTTTTTTTCTTTTCTTTTTTTCTTTCTTTCTTTTTTTTTTTTTTTTCCCGAGATGAAGTCTCACCCTGTTAGCCAGGCTAGAGTGCAATGGCGCGATCTCAGCTCACTGCAACCTCCTGCCTCCCAGGTTCAAGCGATTCTCCTGCCTCAGCCTCTGGAGTAGCTGGGTTTACAGGTGCCTGCCACCAGGCCAGGCTAATTTTTTTGTATCTTTAGTAGAGACGGGGTTTCAACACGTTGGCCAGGCTGGTCTCAAATTCCTGACCTCAGGTGATCCGCCCGCCTCAGCTTCCCAAAGTGCTGGGATTCCAGGTGTGAGCCACTGCGCCCAGCCTCTATCTATTTTCTAGATGAATAAATGGAGGTTATAAAGGAGCCAGGCATGGTGGCTCACGCCTGTAATCTCAGCACTTTGGGAGGCCAAGATGAGAGCCCAGGAGTTCAAGACCAGCCTGAGCAATATAGTGAGACCCTGTCTCTACAAGAATATTTTTTTTTTTTTTTAATCAGCTAGACATGGCAGCTCACGTCTGTGGTCCCAGCTACTCAGGAAGCTGAGATGGAAGGATTGTTCAAACCCAGGAGAGTGAGGCTGCAGTGAGCTATGATTGTGCTGTCAGAGGCAATGGAACCAGAGCGACTCCATCTTGAATAGGGGCTACTGAGTAAAATGAGGCTGAGACCAGCTGGGCTGCATTCTAAGGAAGTCAGACATTCTTAGTCACAGGATGAGATAGGAGGTCGGCAGGACTGGTTTCACAAGATACAGGTCACAAAGACCCCGCTGATCAAATGAGATGCAGTAAAGAAGCTGGACAAAACCCGCCAAAACCAACATGGCAATGAAAGTGACCTCTGGTTGTCCTCACTGGTCATTGTATGCTAATTATAATCCTTTAGCATGCGGAAAGACACTCCCCCCAGGGCCATGACAGTTTATGAATGCCACGGCAATATCTGGAAGTTACCCTGTATGATCTAAAAAGGGAAGGAACCTTCAGTTCCGGGAACTCCCCACCCCTTTCCCGGAAAACTCATGAATCATCCATCCCTTGTTTAGTATATAATCAAGAAATAACCATAAGTCTACTCATTCAAGCAGCCACGCCGCTGCTCTGCCTACGGAGTATCCTTCCTTTATTCCTTTACTTTCTTAATAGACTTGCTTTCACTTTACTGTCAGCTCACTCTTGAGTTCCTTCCTGCTTAAAGCCAGGAACCCATGTGGCCTCCCAGGCTGAATCCCAGTTTTGGAGTTTACCCTGTGACGGTGTCACTGCTCTCCAGCCTGGGCGACAGAGTGAGACCCTGTCTTTAGAGAGAAAAAAAAGGAAAGGTTGTCCTTGGCAGGCAGTATGCCAGAGCCCCAAGAGTCAGCAGGAGAGGTGGGGGGACGTGGGGCGCAGGGAGGAGCTAGAGAAAGTTGAGCAGATTCTGTCTCCCGCTTTCGTAAGAGATTTGGGGGGCAGATTCCAGCCCAGTAAGTCAGTGCACAGAAGGGCAGGCCTCACCGGTCTCACAGGACTGAGAAGAGAGGCGAGTTTCTAAGAGACTGGAGGGCTCCCTACATGGGAAAGGGAAGTGATTTTAGCCGCGTTTGGCTGGGAATTCGGCTGATGGTTCCAACTCATGGGTATTAGCAAAGGGGAACAAGGAATTGCTGAGGGTGGCAAATTGGTTATAATTAAGAGAACCTGGGAGATGCAAAACAATGTGAAGGCCACCAGCTGTCCTGGATCTGGAGCCTCTGTCCTTGGAGCCACTTGCAGGGGGTTGGAGGGATGGCTCAGGAAACCAGCCGCCCTCCCCTACAGTGCAGACCATTCAGCAAAGACTGTGGGAGGATGGAGCCTCTCTGCCTGATATTCCCAGGGCCCAGGGGACTGCCCTTGCTCCTGGGCCTTCCTTCCTGCTTCACTGTCACCTTTTCTTCCTCCACAATTTACATGCCTTGTCTCTTAGGAAAGCAAACAGGCTTGGGAGTGGGCTCAAATCCTGACTCCTGGGCTTTTTTTTTTTTTTTTTTTTTTCCCAGACAGAGTCTTGTTCTGTCTCCCTGGCTGGAGTGCAACAGCACAATCTCGGCTCACGGCAACCTCCACCTCCCCGGTTCAAGCGATTCTCCTGCCTCAGACACCCGAGTAGCTGGGATTACAGGCACGTGCTACCACACCTGGCTCATTTTTGTATTTTCAGTAGAGACAGGGTTTCACCACGTTGGCCAGGCTAGTCTCAAACTCCTGACCTCAAGTGATCCACCCACCTCAGCCTCCCAAAGTGCTGAAATTACAGGGGTGAGACATCATGCCTGGCCGGTTTTTACACTTTTTAATTTGGGGGGGGAAATCAAAAGAAAAGCATTTTGTAGCATTTTGTGACATGTGAATGTTATATACACTTCAGGTTTTGGTATCCGTGAAGTTTTATGGGAACACAACCGTGCCCATTTGTTTACATATTGTCTGTGGCTAATAACAAGGGGGGCTTGGTGGCCCCTCATCCCCCGCTCCTCGTGGAGCTGCCCAGATGCCTCCAGAGCTTGCTGGGGTCACTGAGGGTCCCAGTGACTGGCCTGTGGTTCTGGTCAAAGGATCTGAGACTGTATGGCCTGCAAAGTCTAAAACATTTAGTATTTAGCCTTTTACAGAAAATGTTTGTCAACCCCTGGCATAAGTGCCTGACAATAGGTGGTCAGTAAAATGTATCCTGTTATTCGTATTATTACTGTTACTGTTATCCCTTTTGGCCTCATTTTAACTTTCAAATAATCACACTCATGGCTTAATGGAGAGATTCTAAACCTGAGGTCCATGGAAGGGTTTCAGGGGGCAGGGAGTCTTTGGACCTCTGCAGTCTGGCAGATGGGGTCTTTTTTTGGGGGGAGAGGCTCCATCCAACCCCTGGTTCTCAAAGGAGTGTCAACAAATAGGTAAAAAAAAAAAAAAAAAAGTGTAGGTTTGATCCTTCCTTGACCCAGGCAAATCGATCCACACTTTCCCTGGGCTGTCTGAAGGCCACATCCTTGAAGATGAGCTATTTGGGGGCCCACCCACTGCCTGTGTTGGAGGGGCCTGCAGCTCAACAGGAATGAGGACCCACAGCTTTGGAGCCAGCGGTCCCAGGCTGAGTCCAAACCTTGGCGGCCCCTAGCTGAACCCCTTCTCTGACCCTCGGTTTCCTTGTCGGGTTGCTGCAAAGATTAATTTGGTAATGTCTGTTGGTCACTTGGCACAGTGTCTGGTACACAACAGGTACTGCAGAGATGGTAGTGATTACTAATCTTATTGTCCTTGCACATTCAAAAGTGCTCTCCTCAGTTCACTCAGACCCAGGAAAAGCTGCCCCTGTATTTGGCTGAATTTGAGGTCTGAATACCCCTTAAGGACCCTTAATCTTTATCTTTGGCACCAGCAAATAAGGCAAGTCCACTAAACATTCACGTGATCAATATGCAAAGAAGCATGACCCTCAGTGAAGTTTTTAAGAGTTCAGTGACCTCATTTGAACAGAGACAATGCTTTTAAGAGTGAAATAAACGGGATCTGCAGCTTCGCTATTGCAAAAGCCCTGGCTGTTTCCGAGTGGTTGGTGTTTCTCCCAGAGAGGTTACTCTGAAGCTCAAGCTTGGGTCTACTTTCCCCCTAAAACGCTTCTTGTGGAGCCCCTTTTCCCAGCTCAGTCACCCAGAGCTAACAGGTTTATTCCAAAGCCCAGCAGCCACCACCGGGAGGGGACAGGGTGTCTTTGCAGACGGGCTGTCCTGGAGATGGGCGTCCTGCACAGACTGGTTCATGTTCAGCCCGGCAGGCACTGCCCGCCCCCAGTTGCTGGGCTTAGGCCCATTCAGCGGAGGCCTGGTGGCTCCAGACAACAGCTGGAGACCAGAAGTGAAGACTTCCAGCTACAAGCAAATGTTGCTGCTTCTTGAGGTTGAAATATTCTATCCCTAAAGTGTCCCTTTCAGCTGAGCAAAAACAATCCCCCATCGGGACCCGACCTCGCCACAGAGGAACAAAAGCTTCCCAGTTCTCCGAGTCCCAGAGACTGTCTGCAGTCTCAGGCACGCATGGCCCAGAGGGGAAAGAAGATGGTCATGTGACTTCCAAGCCTGGAGACAAGGTCACCCTTGTCCAGCCCTATTCCCCTTCATGGGAAGAAGAGCCTTTGACTGCCTGACAAAGGATGGGGCTGGTGCTGCCGTGGTGCTGGCTCCCGGGTGGATTCTCCAATGTCTGCGTTTCTCAGGTTCCGGAGAACACAGGACAAGGTCAGTGGTCCCGAGTCCACTCAAATGGGTGTGAGGGTCTCATCCTGGCTTCATTGTCTCATAATCCCAAAGTGGTTTTTTAGGTAGGACAGTTGCACATTCTGGCTGCATTTATTTATTTTTCTGTTGCAGCATAATTTGT